ATTGTTCAATGTTCCAAACTCACATTGGTTTCTCAAACAGCATCTCTGTAAAGTATGTGTATTCACTCTCTGTCCTAAACGGCTTGTTGGAGCTCCTGCCCCCCCCCCTGTGAGCCCAGTGTGCTCTGATTGGTCGGGACGTTGCGAGGCTCACCGCTCACTGAGCTGGCTTACTGGTGTGGTTTCCGGGTCGGCGATACAGCGAGCACAAGCGAAACTCATCCTGAGCACACACAAACACTCACAGCCGAAGTAAAAACAATAAGTGTGGCTTGATATTGAGAAAGAAAAAGGTTTATAACGCTGTGAGAATGGGTCTGCGGAGAGCATTTCTCCGCCATCCCAACTCGTCTATTACCAACCAGGGAGCTCTATGCAAGTCAATGGGGACTCCCTGTTAGTTAGCCAAGGGGTCCTGGTGTGTGAGGTGCTCCGCGGATTGGTCCATTTTGGTTCCGGGAACCTTATGACGTCATGCGTTTTTTTCCCGGAAGAAACAATGGAAAAAGAAATCTCCAACGAGGCGTTCTGGGGCAGCACAGACAGGTCTTCTCTGTTGTTAGAGTTTTACTCGCTACAGGGTGTACTTTGAGGGTTTGTGACTCTGCAGACCGTTTACATGCATAACGACCTTCATAACACAAGGGGACGGGTAATAACCAGAAAAGCATGACATGGGCCCTTTAAGAAATATTTGCTTTATTGTGAAAGCCTGCTGATGCCTGCAGGCCGTTAGCAAAGCTTAAAGAGCTCACCAATTGAAACGGTGAACTCTAAAACTGACGTGTTGCGGTCAAAACATAATCCCACATCTGTAAACCTCTGTCCGTTTATGGAATAAGTAGCGTTCAAGCATCAATTTGAAGAGAAAGCTTTGCTATAAAACTATAAAAATCATCCCAAAAATAAAATCTGTATTGATTTTAGGCTAAGGATGCCGTCTGATGCAGTGACCTAGAAGTAAACCTGCAGCCATGGTGTCTTTATGCATTTGACTTTAAGTCGACCCTGAAGAAAACTGGTAGCAAAGAAATTACATACATTTCAATCAGACATTTGTTTTCTGTATTGCCAACAATAATGTCTAACCTTGCAAGTTCCAGGCTGTTTTGATGCACAGTTCGTGGTTATAAGTACAACAAGTAACCCATATAATGAACACAGGACTTTAACTCTGGATACAACTGTTCTTGTCTCGAGGGAAACCAGAAGTCACGCTTTTTATCACGTTATTTGTTGTGCGTAGACGGCTCTGCTAAAGATTCTTCCCTAGTTTAGGTTTCATGTTCTGTGTTTAGATAGGTTCCTGTTTTATTTTGATAGTCTTGTCTACCCTCATGTGTCTAAAGTACGTTTCCTGCCTTGTCTGTTTTCCCGCTGTTGTGATTGTCTAATTGTCTTCACCTGGTGTTGTCTGTCTAGTCTATATAGTTCTCGTCTTCCCCTGTCTCGTTGCCAGATTGTCTCGTGTGTTCCAAGCCTTCCAACGTTAAGATCATTTGTCATTGTCCTTAGAGTTATCGTCCATAGAGTGTTAGGTTAAGTAAGTCGTTTTTTGATAGTATAGGTTAGACAGTTTATTGAGTGTTTGTTTTGTTACTTTATGTATTCAGTGTGTTGTTACCTGATTACATTAAAACACTTTATTTTGATACTTTGTGTAAAGGAATATTTTGGTCTTGTTAAAGTATATAGAGTTTAGTGAACTGTCCTCGGGAATCTGTTTAATATGCTTGAAGTGTATTCCTGCCTGTAATGTGATCCATAGCTTCTCAGGAAGACACAGGTCAAGAGGTCATCTGATGTCTTGTGGGGGAGAAGCTTGGCTCATGTGGGTTTCCAATGCAACAAGTTTTTGTCTCGACATCTGGCATGCATTAAAGGAAAACCCGCGTGTTTTAGGGCCCTCCTCTTCTCTTTGTATAGAGGGGTGCTTGGCGCTTTTAGAGTTCAGAGTTGTCTGGTATCTTACAGGAGAACTGTGATATGCTGTGAACTCTCCGGCCGCTGAGGCTCTCAATAAATATCAGTGTATTGACAGGCGAATCCAGTTTCACTCATTTCATGATTGGCTCAACATTGCTGCAAAGAAGTTTTAACTTCACACTTTGTTTGTCTCTGCATCGTGCATTTAATTCCACGCCTTTGTACAGCCTTAACATTGTTTCCTTGATTAAATTACACAAGTCGTTTTAACCAAAGCCACTATTTTTCTAAACTTCACCAACAAGCTTAAGCAGTTTCTGCTTGGGCTTCTGAGGACACGGACGAAAAGGTTGGCATGTTTCCAGACTAGCCCAGGTGGTGTTTAAACAGGACCTGGGTTGCCTTCATTGTTCCCTTTACAATATCCTTCTATTAATAATTTAAACTGTGATTTGGTTTAATAATTTGTTTACGCTGCATCCTAGTAAAGAAACCACAACTAGCTTCTATGGAAACAAGTGTCAGGCAATGAAAAACGCCAGGTGATTGAAAATCTTCCTCTGCTCTGCAACACTTACCCAGGTTGTTCGATATCAGGAGGTTCATAATGTAACACTTGGTGTCCCACCGGATTAGGCTGTAATTACATGAAATGAATACTTTAATTATGTAGACACTTCTGATAACTGCATATTTGCCCTTGGTGTAGCTTGTATTCCTGGATCCTAAGCACATTCTCCACAGATCATGAAACTGAAATCTACCCCGGACATTTCCTTTCTATTTTGGGAGCCTGGAGAGTCACAAGGGAGTCGACTATTGATAATGGTGTGCCTACCGCAGGCATACCTTCCTCTGGGACTTGTCCTTATATGAATGGCCCTTGGAGTTATCATCTGTAGAGATAATGACTTATCTTCCTTTCCACTGCTTTGCTGGACAAGGTCCTCAAAATGAGGTCGGAAACCCAGTTCCTGCTCTCTTTTGTCTGGACAAGGAGAAAACCGCCGCAAAAATGTGTCACATCTCAGTGTATTATTAGTATTATCATGCTGGACGTACAGTTATAGAGTTGGACGTGAGGTGAGAGGACTGCTACATTTTAATTTAGAAGACTAATTTATACTTTTACTAAGAAAACCGATAAGTGCTTGTTCACTACAAGCAGATACGACTGAAATAATAATGTCATCCAATTCCTTTTTCTTATCTCTATCTCTCTCAGAAGGAGCTTAATCGCATCATCTGTTTATCATTCGTAACTTTAATATTAGCACAGGGTTTCAAGGATCTTTCTTCCCTTGTAGTTCAATGCGATTGTATTTATCTTGAGTACTTTTAATGGACTTATTTTTAATCTTTGTGTCTTGTTTTTCATCTACATTTGTATGGCCCAGAACTCAATTAGAAAAATAAATTAAGTTCAAAGTCATTACCTTGAGTTAAATAAAGGAGAAGTTCAAACAAATAATCACTTTTCAGCAGAGTGCAGGGTGTCGTGAAGGGGTGACGCCATGAAGCACCTTCATTTAGATTTGGGTCAAATGTGGAAGGACTTTCAGACAAAGTCAAATGTTTTGCCTATTCGAATAACAGAAGAAAGAGATGGACCATTTGTTATGTACTGTAGTGACTTAGATTTTAATGAAATAAATGTTTGAGCGTTTTATAACCCATTAATTAAAATCCTTGTTATTGTATCAGTTTAATTCATTTTTTTTAAAATTCAGACTTTTATAAGTTACAATTATTCCTATTACCCCAGCTTTCCAATAAATGGATCAACACTGAGTTTTCCCTTTTCTCAGGGTTGCAGGTGTCCACGCGGCCAGAGTGACATCAAACCATTGGAGAGGATATTTTGTTCTATCAAAAGAGACGCATTGCTTTCCCTCCTAACATCACTATGTTACACTTGCGCTTCCATTAGCTGGTGCTCCAACACAGTGTACTTGATAGGCTTAGGGGAAATGTGTACACGGATGACCAATCAGAACAGAGCTGGCCAGCTAACCAATCAGAGCAGACTGGGCTCTGGTTTCAGACAGAGGGTGAAAAGAGGTGCTGCAGCACAGGCAGTTGCAAAAGATAAATACCTTTTTGAACATTAAAGCATGGAGTTATGTCACAGTAGAGACACTAAATAAAAACATAAACCTGGAAATTAGCATAGGGCCACCAAAAACAAATGTATTGGCTATTTCGGGTAGAATTAGGTAGAAACCGAACTAAAAGACTGTGAATATTGGTATATTCATACACACATCAATGATAATATTTGTTGTATTACTGGTGAATGTGTGATTAAGCAAAATGACCTACCAAGTTTGCTTTTTTTCAAATTTAAAGAGGATAATATGTAGATATTGAGTTGACAATGTGTTTCTGCTGCCCCCTAGTGGCCATACAAATCAGTTACTGCAAGTTGTAATAAGTACAAGTGGAGTTAGCTTAGTAGTTACGGCAACACTTGAGAAGATTGGTTTGAATTAATAAATTCAATAATTGACTTTAAACTAATTATAATGAGTGTAAACTAATCATTCTAATCAGGGTCCTTTTGCAGAAAAGTGGATGATTCAAAAGCCACACGTTGAAATACAAAGAAAATATGAGACCTAAAAACTCAGAAATATCATTTTTTGTCTTTTTTAATCATTGAGAACAAAGACACATTCAGCAGGTTGTGAACACTCTTCAAAACGATTCAACAAAATACAAATGTAAATCAAGTTAAATATGTTAATTAAATAAATGACCCAATACAATTAGCTAGCTAAATATAATGAGGAAACATTCTTATATGCGATGAAAAATGATCCCTTAATCCGTGGCAACAAAATAAATATTGTTGATGCACACCCATTGTTTGAACACCTGTCAACCATTCATTCTAATGGTATTGGATGGACATGTGTATAGGTTCCCATTTAAGTGAAAACATGTTTTATTGAGCAGCATATTGCCTCCAAATTCTCTACGCATGTTCCAGATCAGATGGGATGGAGAGGAAACTGTTGGATATAGTTTGATATGAGGGGGCTGGATCTCGCTGTCCTTTATTGGCGAGGAACAAAAGCCAGACGCACTTTGGAGTTCAGTGCCGGGACGTAGCAGTCCTCTCATCTCACACTCGGTGCTCCGCCCGACCTTCTCTCTCCTCTGCCTGCTCTCGTGTCTCCTCTCCTGAACAGGTAAGGCATACTTCAAAGTTATTGTGCTATGCAATAGTGTGTGCGATCTTTTCAAGCGATTCTGTGTGTGTGTGTGTGTCTGCCTGCACGCTGCAGATCATTAACTGCCTCCCCTTGCTTTGCGTTAGCACAGGTATCGTGCGACTGTAGGGGGCTAGGTGTCCCCCCCTATGGTGCGCGTTATACTTCCATTCATCCACATTTTGTGCGTTTTAAAGAAAGTTTGGGCTGGCAGTGTTTTCCGTACCGGAGTGAAACATCGTGATCCTTTGCGCATTCCGCCAGGCTGATGCGCACAGTTAGAGAGGGTTTGGCAGCCCGCGTTGTGGAGGTGGGTTTCCGTTAATGCAAGAATAAGTCGGTTTGCAAGGCACTCATGAGGTGTGCACATCATCTGTAGGGGAAGAAGGGAAGTGCACTGTTCCCTCTCCTCATCCATCACTATTTAGATGATCGTGACGCGCGTGAGTCACCTGCAGCGAGAGATCAGAGATTGTGCACAGATGCTTCACTACCCAGGCAGGAATCAATCTCACGTGGTATTATGATAAATAGAGAAATGCATATATATATGACATCCAAATAAGTATAGCATATGCTTAATATTAATTAAAATTAGATTGTGATAAAGACAGATATTACATAGCTGATGAGTGTTTTATCTGGATACTTGTATTTGTGTGTTTGTGTTATGGATGTGCTTGCAGTTTATGATGTTTATCTCATATTTGAAGTGCTGTAGTCACAAGGTACCTCCATTCATGAAAGGCTTGACTAGGTTTTTGTGCAGTTATACAGGGATCATTACAAATAAAATGACCCCCCCTCCTCCTCCTCACACACACAGCAATCCACACAGACACACACACTAACTTACACACTCACTCATCCCTTTCCCACTCAGGAAGCTACTCCTGCGTAATAAATGTGCCATTAGCCATTCTCATTCAAATGCAAGCCCCCTCCACCCACAACAATGTATTCAGTGTTCACACTCCTCTGTCATTTAGTCCACTGAAATTATGATTAATATTCCACTTTGTGGCTTAATTTCCAAGCATTGCCTTAATAAACCTGCCACGTTCATGAAGCCCTGTCGATTACTCTCAGGAGGGTCATCTGGAATGCATATGGGCCCCTTAAGACCCTCATCACCACATTATGACAGAGAGGCAGGCAGAGACAAAAAAAGAGACAATCAGTGGATTAGCAACTGACAGCAGCGTCATTTTATTCGTTTTCCACCACAAATGTAGTAAAACAACTGTTACCTCAACATTGAGCGTAACTGTAAGTTGCTTTTAGCCAAACTTCAGACCTGGGGTGACAGAACCTTCTAAGTTGCTCCACCTCCTTCTGAAAGGCCATCGCCAACGATATCAGACTGTCAAACACCCTATCATCCTTGAACTAACTGTTTCAAACTGGCTTTTTGCTGAATAACTTCTTCCCCAGTTTTGCTTTCTGATCGATAGTTTGGTTTTCTAACTCATTTCATTGCATCTTGTTTTTTTGCATTTCTGTATGTTCAAATGCGTGCATTGTGAAGTGTCTTTAAGTGCTTAAAGAAGAGCTAAACAAAAGCGTTATGGATATGCATTGCCAAATTATTAACATAAAGCAATGTTTCCCAGTTGGGTGCATTAGAGTGTTTTGGGGTACCCTAGTTAAATTGGGGCTCATTAAATTCCCCGTTAATTAATTCAACAAAAGTGAAATTATGACAAAATTCAAAGATTTATTTCAATAGGATTTTAGGGCTGCACAATTAACCAATATATGAATTGCAATATAGACTTGTGTAACATCTAGACCGCAGTTGAGACAAAGCCCAATGTTTGGAAAAGTATTTTTCGTTGCTATAATTTTGTGTTGCTGCAAAGAAGGCATCCAAATATTTTCTACAGACTTTATAAAGAATCCCTGTTTGGTACACAACATGTTTATAATAATATGAACAGCATGTCACAAATCAAAGCGCAATTGCAGTCATTTTTTTCCAAATTGTGCCGACCTAGTGATTTTACACCAACATTTTCCCATACTCATAAATCAGTAGTGCTGTCGCCCTGCTTACTCGGAGGATGAGGTTAAGGCATCCTACATGTCAGTGCATTCCTCCACATTTCTGAATATAAACTTGTTTTTTTGGGTTATCACCTCGTGCTGTCGGGGTTCTCTGGGTGCTCGGCAGCTGCAGTCTGAACAGGAAGGCAGCGCGGGCTGAAGGCTAATCTTCACAGGGGTGATAGAGATAACAGTGATGTATGGCGCGGATGGGGTGTTTTAACACACAGAGCCGACTGTTGTGTAGCGGGGTCAGGCCTGTGATACCGGAGCACTGCTTCAGCCCAGATACTCTCATGCCTGGGATGTGGCTTGTCTTAATAGCTGCAGGTGGATGCAGGCGAGTATTCACAGCCTGCAGATGCCTTGATGAATGCTGTGTTGCTGCTCAGGCATCTGTCATTCGCGTCGCCTCTCCAAGTAAAATACTTCCTTGGCCGGCAGCCAGACAGGCAGCTGTGACATGGTTATGTTGCATTTTACTGGAAAACTGATGGCAGTGTTTTTCCTAAAGGGAAAGGCTCTACCTGGAAAGGATTCCAGGGGCATAACCGCACCTCTACTGAACATTAGTGTGAAGTAATGACCGTGTAAATATAGATTTTATGATCTAGCACATGTATAATAAGCCATTGATGGAAAGTGAGGTGAAGGGAGGTTGCACTCAAATGCATTTTTGGTAACAATTTATATGGCATTCATGCCTACAATGCAATAAAGACATAGTTATAACTATAATTATACAGATCTAATACATTTTAAGCACTCGTAAATATTTATAATGCTCCATAACAACGGTCAAAAAACACATTATGTAGCATTTTGTAATGATTCTTGAAGGTCAAGTAATACATTAAAGCTAGTCAATCACTGTCTTTTTATTTGCAAGTACATTTGTATAATGCTTATGAATATCCGTATAATGCTTTATAATCATTTGTGTGTTATTTGGTAAACACCACACAAAGTGAAATGTGAACAAAAATATGTGTTTTATGCTGGACTGCTAATTTTATGTATGAATTACTCATTGTTATAGATAGGGTTACCAAATGTGCATAATGATAATTTATTACACAAAATGTATACATTAAGTACGTGTATCTTGATGTGAAAATAATCTAATTCACATATTATTTAGTTAGTTGTGATCAAATGTTTACATTATATTGTAAATAATATCATGTGACAATTATACTGACAGTCACTACATGATAATGGTACATTATTAAATGATCTTTATGATGGCGATTGAAATATCTCCTGAAGCTTAATTAAACTTGGTCTGAAAACAAAAATCTGAAATCTTCAATCGATAATATTTTCCTTTGTGACTGAGCTAATTGGAATACAGGTATTGTGAATAACAGAGATGTATTATGTGTCATCAGGCTGTAGGAGGAAGGACTGGCCAGTGAGATATCCATCACATTTGAGCAGATCACAGTTTAAAGCCCCCACAGGCTCGAGATTAAAAGTAATTTTTCTTTATTAGAAATAACCTTTTGGTCAAGGATGCTCGGGTTACTTAATGAAACAACGCACACCAGAGACAGCATACATTATTTGATGCTGTCATTTAATTTGATTGTTGTCAGTTTAAGATGAATCCAGAGAGGAAGTGTGATTATTATAACTATTGACCGGCTGACGTCTGTCAACATGCAGATTAATAGCTTGGATGAAAAAAATGACACTCGGTATCACGGCAAGACGGGAAAATGTCACGTTGGTCCACACTGGGAGTCTTCAGGATTTCAACCCCTCAAAACGTGACATTTTCACGTCTTGCCATGAAAGCGGATTGAAAGAATGACACCAATGGGGACGTTACCCAGTATCTTAAAACCTATATTTGAACTTGCATTATTTCTAATAGCCAACAATGAACGACTCCACCGGTTGCAAACAATTCTGATATATAGAGCTCTATGAGAAAATGTAATTAATGACCTCAGTAAACATTTCCGCATAAGTGTGTGTTCTAAGTTTCTTGTTCGAAGTCTTCTACATGAAGCACTATTGTTGATTTTTGTTGATGCCTTAATGCAGGGTTGTTGCCGTTGTTTGGCTTTGTTGTTCATATTTTTTCCATCTACACTGAACAAAAATATAAACGCAACACTTTTGTTTTTGCTCCCATTTTTCATGAGATGAACTCAAAGATCTAAAACATTTTCTATATACACAAAATAACCATTTCTCTCAAATATTGTTCACAAATCTGAACAAATCTGTGATAGTGAGCACTTCTCCTTTGCCGAGATAATCCATCCCACCTCACAGGTGTGGCATATCAAGATGCTGATTAGACAGCATGATTATTGCACAGGTGTGCCTTAGGCTGGCCACAATAAAAGGCCACTCTGAAACGTGCAGTTTTGCTTTATTGGGGGGGTCTGGGGGGGTCCGAAAACCAGTCAGTATCTGGTGTGAGGTGTAGGGTTAGGGTTCAATGTTGTGAATCGAGCCTGTGTTCGTCGTCCATAACATACGCCTGCCCATACCATAACCCCACCACCACCATGGGCCACTCGATTCACAACATTACCCTAACCCTAACCTCCAAAAGCGGCTGACTCAAAACATATCAGGGTCTCTAATAGGTTTATTTTAACCAGCAATGTTCCTTATATTGTCTCAGAGGCTTTTACAACAATTTAATCCTGCAGAAACACTAAACAATTGCTAGACTCTATATTAGTCCAGGCCAATATTGCAGTAGAGATGTATCAATTTAGCAGCTGAGATAAACACCATGTTTTCTAATCTCATCGCGGCCACAGATGTCAGTTGTTTGGACACGTGGGCGTTCTGCAGGAGGCCAGGTGAGCAGGACAGAGTGGTGACCTTCACTCTGTGATAAGGACTGACAGGAGCTTGATGGAGGTGGTGCAGCAGGAATCACGTTGAATTATTTCTGACATGGAGCT